ATCTTTGGATTCTGCAGAGTCTTCAGATTTAGTGGGACTGTTTCTTTCGTACAACCTCACAGCATATGAAGAGATTGATTTGAATAGTATAGGGCTTTATAGAGATGATAGTCTCATGATTGTAGAAAAAAATACTAGATTTAAGGATGATAAACTTAGAAAATTACTACACACTGTTTTTAAATCTTTGGTCTTAGCATAGTTATCAATGCAAATATTAAACAAGCTGATTTCTTAGATGTTACATTAAATCTGGTTTGAAATAATTTTCAACCTTACATGAAAAATAATACCTACCCAATTTATATCCATCCTAATTTCAATCAGCCATCCTCTGTAATCCATAATATTCCATCATAAGTAGAACGACGGATTAATCAACACACTTCTAGCAAAAAAATATTTGAAATGCATAAAACAGTTTATGATCAGGTTCTTAGTGACAGTAGGTTTAAATCTTCTGAAATTGGATTTGTGGAAAATTATGATTGTTCCAAGAAGAAAAACAGAAACAGAAAGATCATATGGTATATTCTTCCATATAATCAATTAGTTCAGACTAAACTAGTTCATAAATTTTAAAAATTAATTTATAAACATTTTCTTAAAATAAGTTCTTTGAGTAAAATATTCAATCGGAACACTCTAAAACTTAGTTATAGTTCTACTAATAATTTAGAGAAAATAATTAAATCACATAACAATAAAATATTGAAATTATATAACAATAATAACCGTAATAATAATGCTGATCTTAATTTGTCTCCGATAAATAACCTATGTAATTATAGAAATGCCCGTTATCTAACATGTGTTTAACAAAATCCCTTGTGTATATAAGTTCTATTACATCAGTTGAATATCCCAGGATTTCCGAACGAATTTACGTTGGAAGTACAATAAATGAATTTAAACAAAACCTTTCTATAGCCATCTCACATCCTTCAATATTGCAGATAAACGAAACATGACTTCACTTTCTAAATATTTTTGGAAATTGAAAGATGAAAATAAAACAATGGAAAATTCTAAAACTAGTGAGAATCTCTAGGTCTTTGACTGAACCATATTTCCTCTGTCTACATGAGAAAATGGAAATAATTAAATTCTCAAATAGTGACATTTTGTTGAATCAAAGATACGAAACAGCGATAAATTGTAAGCACATAAAGGAATTAACTTTAAAATCTTGCTAAATTTCTTAACCCTAGAATCAATCTTATGTTTATTATCTTTATAAACATTTCATTGTTATTATCGTTAATTTATCCCAGTTTTATGCATTAAATTGTTTAATATTTGTAATTTCCTAGTAGTACGATTAACCTTGAATTATCTTTTTAATTTTAATTTAATTTTATTTTTATTTTATTTTAATTATTTTTCTCTGGCTTTTTTAATAATACTTTATAATTAATATAATAATATAAAAAATTTAAATTTATTTTGCATTCTAATTCATATTGTAATGTTGGTTTTTAAGTATTGTATTACTTCTTAAAGTGTACTTTTTACATTCTGTGAATAATTATGCCTGAATATAAAACTGCATATACAAATGCCATAGAATAGTAAATGCGACATGTCGATACAGTATATCCATTCACGTCGCTTTTCCGTTCAAATTTGAATTCTCTGATTCAACACAACTTTCACTTTCATTTAACCCCTTGACTTTCCTCTTCTTATGAATCTGGGTAAATTTTGAATATACTTCTCTGTTTCTCTTGCCTTTCCTTTTTGTCCTCAACAGACTTTCATTGGTTTAATTTCTATCAACAGCTTTCTATTTCTTATCTTCTTGACTTTCCTCTTCTTATGAATCTGGGTAAATTTTGAATATACTTCTCTATTTCTCTTGCCTTTCTATTTTGCCTTTTCTCTTGGTAGTATAGTTAATTTCCTACGCTTTCTCTTGACTTTCTTTTCTTTTTCTTTTTCTTTTTCTTTCCTCTTTCTTTTTTTTATTGATTTTTTTTTATCTTCTTTCCTTTTTCTTTATTTAAATCCTTTTTACCTTTTCTGGAAATTTTTCCAAAAACGGAAAGTGAATTTGTGTTTCATTAATCCCAATTTCGACTCAAATCGTTTAGTACCATCATTCATATATATATATATATATATATATATATATATATATATATATATATATATATATATATATATATATATATATATATATATATATATATATATATATATATATATATATATATATATTAGGATATTACGCAGTTGATATGTAAAAATCGCTACACAATTGCAGTTGTGTTCCAATGCATTTCATCAGGCGATTGTAAATTACTTGCGAGTGAACGATTTATTTAGATTTAAAAGTATAACACAACCTTTTTTTTTCTCTCGAAAAAACAATTTATAAAAGTTTGAGGGCTTTACTCTGATCAACCAATCAAATATGACCTACGTTAAATTTAAACTAAGAAGCAAAAATTTTAAATTATTTTTTATAAATGGATTACGACCCGTAAATTGAGAGCTAACAGCAGCCAGACATAAACTTAAAGCGGATACATATGGCTGCATAAAATATACAAACCAGACAATGCAGTTTCCTAAGAAATAAAAGTGGGGGGGGGGGTTAGAGAGGTAATTTAACGAAATGCCAAACAAGTTATATGCTTTGTGAATTTCCTACATATTTTTTGTAGTTAATAAATAGATACCTTCTTTAAGAAATTAGTAAGAAATTTAAGCATATAGAATTATTTGGTAAATTAATATGCAACTGTTAAATAAAGATCCTTCATATAAGAAGTTAAGAACACTAACTAATCATTGTAAAATGCCAAAAATAGCGACTAAATATCAATACATCTGTACAAGATGTTACTATTACTACCAGGAGATTAATACAAAATTATATTAAATCCAGATTAATCTTAAAAATAGAAAGATAAGCCTTATGTAGTGCAACGCAGCACAACTAAAATATAAGAAAAAAGCATTATCAAAATAAAAAAAAAATGCAATAAAACTAAGATATTATTTTCTTTAAAAAATCACCTTATTGCTTTTATGAATAAGATATATTATGGATACTATTAGCTTAAGAGAAAATTATTTTTTGCTGAATATTGAATTATTAATAGAATTTTTTTAATTATTTAAAATTTAATTATAATATATTTATTTATACTTATAAAAATAATTTTTAAATCTTATAAATTTTCGTAATAATTTATAGCGATTAGGTAATATTGTCATTAAGAAAAGACTATATTTACTAATCATAAATGACAAAGCTTACTACAATTCAGTATTTTAAAAAGTATTTTGATTTTGTGCGTGTGTGTGTATAAATGAGACGATTTTTATAAATACGGATGTCCATACACGACATTATCAGAAAAAAAGAGCGGTAACAATAGAAAATTTAAAATTTATTAGTAATTTTCTAACATTTCCTTAACAAAAGCCAAAGTACCTGAAATCCAATAAAATATTATAATACTTAGAATTTATATAAAAAAGGCGCTCACATTGGATTCAAGTAATTTTCATAGTTATGTGTTCTTTACACAAAAATTCCAAAAGTTATGCTAACAATAAATCAGTCAACACCTCATAAAAACACTCAGATCCGTGTTAAAAATGGTTTTCTGCCATATTTTAAACTAAAAGTAATATTTGTTTTAATTTAGATTAATTAAACTTTAAATCAGTTAATCATCCTCGAATAAAGTTTCAGAAAAGTATATTTTATTTTTAAAAGTTTTTCTAATAAAAGAAATTATATTGTGTTGACAGATTTGTGAATATGGCTGATTTTAGCGACTGAAATTTCAGTTTGAAATACAGCAAAGCGTTTTGCTGTGGAAATATTCATTTTAATCTTTTAGCTGTGAATTAAAACTGAATTAAAAGCTTCAAGAAAAATATTCCATTTTTTTCGAATGCATTTTAAACATTAAGTATCGCTGTTTTTTGGATATACCTAGCTGCTAGCATAAAGTCATACTGAAAACTTTCTGACCTTTTGCCATAATTTTGCTGACGTTAATAAGTATCTTTGTGTTTATTATTCTGGTGAAAAATCAATCTTTTGACTGCCACTCCTTAAACTCGTACCACAGCGTGGGTACGCAGAACCACAAGTGGAGACCACAGGTCAATTCGACCGCAGATTATAATGAGAAGCAGCAACGCCACCGCAGAAATCCTCCGACTACCGTCATCACTGCTATTAATTTTCAGTTTGTATTTCTTTCTTTACTTCTTTCTTTCTTTTTCTTTCTTTCTTTCTTTCTTTCTTTCTTTCTTTCTTTCTTTCTTTCTTTCTTTTGCTCTCGGTTCTTTTTCTTTCTTCCTTTTCACCTTCTCAGTTCTTTACAAATATTTCTTTCTGTCTTTATCTTCTTTTTCTTTATTTCTTTTCCCCCTTACAAATATTTATTCTTTCTTTCTTTCTTTCTTTCTTTCTTTCTTTCTTTCTTTCTTTCTTTCTTTCTTTCTTTTGCTCTCGGTTCTTTTTTTTTCTTTCTTCCTTTTCACCTTCTCAGTTCTTTACAAATATTTCTTTCTGTCTTTATCTTCTTTTTTCTTTATTTCTTTTCCCCTTACAAATATTTATTCTTTTTCTTTCTTTCTTTCTTTCTTTCTTTCTTTCTTTCTTTTTTTTTCTTTCTTTCTTTCTTTTTCTTTCTTTTGCACTCTGTTCATTTTTTTTACTTTTCACCTTCTCTGCAGTTTTCAAATATTTTTCTTTCTTTTTTCCTCCCCTTCTTTATTTATTTATTTATTTATTTCACTTATAAATCTTTCTTTCTTCTTTTCACCTACAAATATTTCTTTCTTTCTTTCTTTCTTTCTTTCTTCCTTTCTTTCTTTTTTTCTCCCCACCCAACATTCCATTTTCTTTCTATCTGCTATTTATTTTAAGTCCTTACAATTATAAATATTTTATTAGTTCTTTTCCTTTTATCTTTTATCTTTGCTTCTTTTTCTTTTTATTTGTTCCTTTCTATTTATTTTCTCTCTTAATGTCTTTTAATGTCTTTTTCTGCTTTACTTTGCATTCTTTTTTTTATAGTCTTATACATGCTTTTTCTTCCTTTCTTTCTTTCTTTCTTTTCACATTCTATATTTTTTTTGCCTTCATTTTAGAAATATTTCTTTCTTTCTTTCTTTCTATTTCCGTCTCACTTTTCATTTTCTTTCTTTTTCTTTTCATTTGTTCCTTTCCTTTTATATTTCCTTCATTCTTTCTTTCTTTCTTTCTATTTCCGTCTCACTTTTCATTTTCTTTCTTTTTCTTTTCATTTGTTCCTTTCCTTTTATATTTCCTTCATTCTTTCTTTCTTTCTTTCTATTTCCGTCTCACTTTTCATTTTCTTCCTTTTTCTTTTCATTTGTTCCTTTCCTTTTTATATTTCCTTCATTCTTTCTTTCTTTTTTTTCTATTTCCGTCTCACTTTTCATTTTCTTTCTTTTTTCTTTTCATTTGTTCCTTTCCTTTTATATTTCCTTCATTCTTTCTTTTTTCTTTCTATTTCCGTCTCACTTTTCATTTTCTTTTTTTTTCTTTTCATTTGTTCCTTTCCTTTTTATATTTCCTTCATTCTTTCTTTCTTTCTTTCTATTTCCGTCTCACTTTTCATTTTCTTTCTTTTTCTTTTCATTTGTTCCTTTCCTTTTATATTTCCTTCATTCTTTTTTCTTTCTTTTTTCTATTTCCGTCTCACTTTTCATTTTCTTTCTTTTTCTTTTTCATTTGTTCCTTTCCTTTTATATTTCCTTCATTCTTTCTTTTCTTTCTTTCTATTTCGTCTCACTTTTCATTTTCTTTTTTTTTTTTTCATTTGTTCCTTTCCTTTTATATTTCCTTCATTCTTTCTTTCTTTCTTTCTATTTCCGTCTCACTTTTCATTTTCTTTTCTTTTTCTTTTCATTTGTTCCTTTCCTTTTATATTTCCTTCATTCTTTCTTTTCTTTTCTTTCTATTTCCGTCTCACTTTTCATTTTCTTTCTTTTTTCTTTTCATTTGTTCTTTTCCTTTTATATTTCCTTCATTCTTTCTTTCTTTCTTTCTATTTCCGTCTCACTTTTCATTTTCTTTCTTTTTCTTTTCATTTGTTCCTTTCCTTTTATATTTCCTTCATTCTTTCTTTCTTTCTTTCTATTTCCGTCTCACTTTTCATTTTCTTTCTTTTTCTTTTCATTTGTTCCTTTCCTTTTATATTTCCTTCATTCTTTCTTTCTTTCTTTCTATTTCCGTCTCACTTTTCATTTTCTTTCTTTTTCTTTTCATTTGTTCCTTTCCTTTTATATTTCCTTCATTCTTTCTTTCTTTCTTTCTATTTCCGTCTCACTTTTCATTTTATTTCTTTTTTTTTTCATTTGTTCCTTTCCTTTTATATTTCCTTCATTCTTTCTTTCTTTCTTTCTATTTCCGTCTCACTTTTCATTTTCTTTCTTTTTCTTTTCATTTGTTCCTTTCCTTTTATATTTCCTTCATTCTTTCTTTTTCTTTTCTATTTCCGTCTCACTTTTCATTTTCTTTCTTTTTTCTTTTCATTTGTTCCTTTCCTTTTATATTTCCTTCATTCTTTCTTTCTTTTCTTTCTATTTCCGTCTCACTTTTCATTTTCTTTCTTTTTTTTTTTCATTTGTTCCTTTCTTTTATATTTCCTTCATTCTTTCTTTTTCTTTCTTTCTATTTCCGTCTCACTTTTCATTTTCTTTCTTTTTCTTTTCATTTGTTCCTTTCCTTTTATATTTCCTTCATTCTTTCTTTCTTTCTTTCTTTCTTTGACTTTTTGTTTCTCTGATACAAATTTAGAATGACATGGAAAGGGAATTCGCCAAGATCAAATATATACAGCCCCCTCCGCTGCATTTTTTCTTAGTTTCTTTCTTACTTTTTTTTTTTAAATTCTTAATCTCTGTATTTTTTGTCCCTCCTTCTTTATGCGATTGCTTCTCTACTTTGGTTTGTCTTACAATATAGAAACATATTAGCATTGATAAAAAAAAAAGAAAGAATAGGTTTCTTGGTAATAGTCAGGGTTCGAGCCTTGCTAAAAACCGGGAATTTGAATGATTTTCAAGATCAGATTTTATTCCCATTTTGCTAAATTGACTTTTCATGACTGCAACAACCCTTCTCCTCTTATCTGAAAAAAAACTGCACAATATTTTCTGTATTATCTCTCCCACATGATTTGATTTTTGAACCAATGCAACCAAAGCTTAGCGAACGACCAGCAAACAGCTTCATTGCAACCGATATGATTTCGACTCTCATTGGGTGCTTGAAATTTGTGGCTTTGTGGTATACTAATCTAATGTTAGTCGTCTAGTAGATGATTGCTACTAAACAGAACTTAGTAGATTGTTCACCAGATATTGACTAAATATTTCACCCCTACGATAAAAATAAGAAAAAAAAATGTCAATTTTGTACAATTTCGCCGTTGCATTGTACTTGAATGACATTAGACAGACCATAATTTCCAAGCCTCAAACCAGGTCAGTGTTCAT